CACACACACATACATACAAGAGTTTGCCAAATTTCTCAACTATGAAAATAGCCAAACCATGAAACACAACAAGAAAATCCCCACAGTGACTAAAGAAAAGAAAAACAACAAGAATAGAGTTGCAGCACGATAGGAGATAAAGTCAAAGGTGCCACACTCTACTTGCAGCCACCACAAAGGTTTAGATCACCTCTATTTTTATGCCTGGATCATGGAACATACAGGAGCATCTGGTTGGTTGGCTTTAGAGCTCTAACCTGATTATGATAAAGCAAGAGTTCAGCTAATTAATGTAACGCCAGTCCATTTAAAACCTTGAAGGATCATAAACATTTTAATAGACAAGAAGAGTTAGTGTGTCAAGGTGTTTTATTATCCCAGTTATTGTTTTTAGTTTTTGTTATAAGACAAGTTGTTGCATTTCATAGTGACTGCATATGATGATGGGATACTTAAAAATCTTTGAAACTTCCTCTGAAGCATTATTAGGGACACTGGTGAGAGCATCTTACATCACTCTATTCCTAAACTTGTATGCACTCAGTTAATAATTGACCCAGATCATTCATAAATTCCCAGCACTAGCAGTGACAGAGTACTAACCCTCTCATTTCTGTCCATACAGAACAGTCTCGTGTGGTGTCTCTTCTGAACAACCACAAAGGTAATACCAGGCTGGTAGTCCTTCTCTAGTTTGATGCAGGCCTCCCGGATTGCCAGCAGCTCATGCTGAAGAACCTGCACGCAACGAAGTCGTAAGATCTTAAAGGTAACCCGTAAAACAATATATGTACAACAAAAGCATGATTAACATTTAACAGCAACTTCTGACAGTTCAATTAATTGCACAAGTGCATAAGGAAAATCAACCACTTTTCCTGTTTGTTATAGTTTATTCTGTTTGGTCCTGGATATATGGATCACCTGGTTGAACTGGCCCTCAGAGATGCCATCCCGATAGTAGATGATTCTGGTGGGCTTGAAGCGGGTGGACTTGTAGAACTGGATCAGCAGCTCCCTCACCATGGTAGCCAGGTCCTGAATGATTTCCTGGCGGTGCTGCTGCACCCGTACTGTCGCACAGTACCGGCTGGGATGGGCATCCATGCTACCAACCACCTCAAATGAAAAGAAAGAATGAAAAAAAACAGGTATGACCACATTAAAAAGGATTTATTGAGAATGACAAATGATAGTGATAGATGCTTCATCCTTTTGATGTCCCGTCCCACATAGTTTTTTACAATGAAAACAAACAAGCAAAAAAACAAAAAAAACAAAAACAAAAACATGACAGACAACTGGACTTTCTCAGTCTATCACATTTTGATGACACTTTGATTAGGATGAGCTTGGAGGTCAAACAGTTTTCTTTCTTGTTTTTGAGGCAGTGATGTCACTGTCCTGTTGCATAATATGTGAAGTGTGTGTTTAAGCTATAACACAGTATCTTGTTACTCTGTGTCAGTCCACACACACACACACACACACAAATATAACATATTGTGAAGGGTAGGTCGTAATGTGTTGTTGCTTACTGCGGCGATAGAGGGCTTTTTTCCATCTCCTGCAGGTGGATGTGTCACATCTGCACCAAGGAAGATCACTGGCTGCTGAAACACCACCGGCCTAGAACAGTAGATGTACATAAAAAAGTTTAACACAATGGCATAGCTTTCATGTGTTGAAAAAATATAAAAGCAACTCATTAGTTTCATGATAAGAATTCACCAGAATTTCCACTAACCTGCCCTGTGGGAGGAGGATGTTGTTAACACCGCCCAGCTTGACATTAATCTTCAAACACAGGTTGGAAAGAGTTTGAGGCGTCGTCTTTTGAACGTTCTTCACTTGCACGCACTGTGTGGCCATGCCAAGAACTGTGTCCCCAACACGTTTCACCTCAGCTAAAAACACATCAGGACAAGGGGGAGATATAATTTGATCTGCTATAATAAAAAAAAAAAAAAAATGGAGTGTTGCACAATCTGCCCCAGACGATTTAGTGCACATAAGTAAGCTGACTAAAAGTATTTTCTACGTAAAGGATAAATTTCTGTTTTATTTATTTATGCACAAATTACTTAAAATAACTAACTTGAAGCTCAAAAATGAAGCGGAGTATATAACTTTTTCTGTAATTTCTTGTGGTTTACTTCTAAAGCAGATACAGAAGCAGTAAAACTTGTTGAGCAGGCAATAGCGCAGCAGCATGTTCAGATACACTGGAAGTGGGGAGTCGTCTTTGAAGTTGCAGCAGAATGCGGTTGGAGTGGTAGGGACTAATTAAAGACCCCCTTCAGGTTCAAGGAGAGTTATAAATAACATGAATAAAACTGTTCCCTGATTTCTGTTCTTTATACAAGGTTAATGCTTCAGTTATTAATAAGAGTTTAATTATCAAAATGAGATACTTTTGTACAAGTACATGATGCCTAACTTTACCCAAACTCAATCACTTTAACCAACTCTCATTCTCTACAAAGCAGGCTTATAGTTTTCACATCTGTTTGTGATGTCACAACTTTAACCACTTAACCTAGATTTAAAGGGAACTCAGAGAAACTCTGAAAACAGCCCTTGAGTGTCAAACTGTTTTACAGAGCTAAATGCAAGCATCCAGGCGAAGCAACAATGACCATACTTGTTTCTGAGTGAAGAGCCACACCAGCGGCTTTTAAAATGGTAAATTTGAACTGCACCTGGCTGGAGAAGCCACAGTGTTTGTTTGTTTGGAAACAATCAAACAAAAATAAATTTCTCAGACAAAATAAATACCATAGTAAAAGAAGATCCCTCACCATAAACGGGTGTCTTCCCTGGTAGGATCACTACCACCAGTTGGAGGCCCTGGTAGGTGTATTTGAGGTGCCTGAACATGGGCTCGACGCTGTCAGCTCCCTGGGCATATTTACAAAAGCAAGGTTGACCTTGGATAGGCATTCCTGCATCTCGAGAGATCTTCCTCAGCTGATCTGTGAAAGCTCTGACAGGTGGAGATCTTGTTAATTTAAAGATAAACGGGTTAAGACACAGTCCTAGTTTAGGTTAGATGACATTTGAGAGCTGCCTGCCTGCCTTAGATACATTGTATGAAGTTTTCAAATTATCCCATTGGACTGCTTTTCCTAACATTTATTTTTAAATTACAGTGAAAGTTTGGTTTTCCAGACTTCAATTAAAAAGGAGCTGGTCAGTCTTGGTGAGTGCCATGAAAAGTCAGGACATACTGACTTGCTTAAATACAAAAATAACATGAATGCAGTAGACAAAGCCTGGCTTACACACTGTAAATACACAGCACAGTTGTATGTAGTTGGCACGTGCTTTTACACAGAACTATATTTGCACAGTAAACTTGGTCAACATTTTACAGAAAAAACAAAAAGGACTGTGTGACTGTGTTTACGCACTTCTGTACAGAACCTACGCTCTGCTTTACAACTTTTACAACTTTTTAAACACACCCATAAGCCTTAAGCTGTCTACTATCAAACAATAACACGCACACACGATGGCATGACATACATCTGCATATGATAGATAACATACGTTCAATGTATCGTGCTTACTTCAGTAGGAGTTCGGTGCACTGTCTCTGTGGCGCAAAGCAGGCAATGGCCCACACTTTGATCTCAATACCAGTGTGGAACTGCTTGTTCCTCATGTCCCACACTCCCTGGATTGGTGTGGCTATTGCTTTGTTCTGCAAATTGCAATGAGAGCAACATCATAAGTGCTAATCACACCATCCACGATGAAGTTACTTGAATAAAAACAAATAAAGTAATTCATGCATTAAAAGCACATTAACACATACCCTGCCTCCATACAGTATGGAAGGAGCTTGTAGGACACGGCCATTCACTTCCGTCATCTCATCCCGAACCATCACTCCGAACTCACGAACGTAAGGGTCAGCGTTGAAGTTGGCACTCCTCATCTGAATAAACACACACACACACTCATTAGCATAATACAGCAAACTTTAAGATTTTAGTCAAGTTATTTATTTTCTTTTATTTATGTTTATTCATTTCATATTCAAGGTAATCTGTATTGTTATTAATGATAATCATAATATTATGGACTATGATTGTAAACATTCTATACCAATGAGCAAATTCATCAGCAGTTCACTACAACTATCAATCTCAAAGACTTTTGTTGTCTTTATTAGCAGTCCTTCCAGCACTGGCCTCACTGAACCCATTAATTTTTAAGTTTATCATGTTGGCAGTTCTTGCTATTGGCCTTAGAACTCTGGGCAAACACCAGTGATGAATCACTTGAGTGTAGCCGTTGGCACAATGTAAACATTCTCTGTTTTCCTTCACTTGTTGTTGCAGGAATGGTGTCAAACTTGTGAAAACTTAAGTTTTAAAAACAGTGTCTGTTACAGTTCATATAACTCACCAGTTTACTAATCTCATCCTGACGATCTGGTGCCGATCTGGCTGTGGCACGGATCATAGTGGAGGTCTGATTGTCTGTCAGCTTTTTGATGCAGCGCTGTCCTGCCACTATGTTACACACCTGGGGCGGACACGCGCAAATCATTTAGAAGAACAAAAAAAACAAAAATCTCAAGTCACCTAGCTGGTGAACAAGAGGTTGATGATGCTTACCTCTAGAGGCAGGTAGGTGTGTTTCTGCTCCTGCCCCACCTGTAAACATGGCAGGTGGGGGTATCGCAGGATGAGCTTGTACTTGTCTTTGAAGTACTGAGCTACTGTGCACTCTATAGTTTGGCCATTCTCCTGTTGCAGAGGGAACCTAAAGATTTCCCCAAAAAAAAAAAAAAAAAAAAAAAAGCATTCAACATGTGAAACCTTTTAAATCTACAGGCAGCAGGAATATTCTTAGACCAGTGTTTCCAAATTTGTACTACTTATAATCATGACAAGTCATCTAGACAGAAAGTTTGGTTTTAAATAGTATTTTGCAGTTAATCTAACAGGGCTAAATGCAGTTGTAGGTGATTTTTTTGTTGTTGCTGTTGTAAACCTTTAGCAAACCTGATATTTGAATTTTAAGCATGCTATTTATCTTGTTTTTAAAATTTAATTGAAAAATGATATTTTTAAAAAAGCATTCTTACGTTTGGTGGCTGGCTGGTCTTCTTGTCACGTTGCACACTCTGTACTTCCTCTTCATCTGCCCACAGTGAGTAATCTCAACCTTCAGGCCTGAATAAAGCAATCACAATAAAAGGAAACAAAGGTTGAACATAAACATTTTTGTTAAATAAAATTAAGGGAAAATTCATAACAGCAAACCTAACCAGTCATTTAAATCACCTTCAGCCAACTGAACATGGACACTTTAAAGAAGCTAACAATGGACAAGTAGCTAAAGGCAGCAGCCTTGGTTTGAGCAAAGCAGAAGAGAAGAGAATAATTTTCCTGTTATCTGGTGAAGTTATAAACATACTAGAAAATGATTCAAGTACATTTGTTTGAGCCTGCTTTTTTTGTAAGGTAAACTATGGCTACATTCACACCGCACGCGAAAGCGCATCAAATACGACTTTTTTGACCTTATGCGACCCATATCCGATCATGGTATGACAGTGTGAACAGCACAAATGCGATATTTTCAAATCCGACCGGGGTCACTTTCGTACGTGGTACTGAATCCGATACATATCTGATGTTTTAGAAAGTGATCGCATTAAATCCGTCTTTTACGTCACTGACACAAGACAGACGCCAATTATCAGCGCTGGAGAAGCGCCCGAGAAGACATCGCGAACGCTTCCTGGCCATCCAGTGTAGATGTTAGTGAAACTGTTGGGAAGACAACGTTGGAGAAACGTGAACATTTTATTTGTACTGTATAATCTGCAGATTCTGACAGAAATCTGCAACTATCCTTTGAAGCACTGCTCCTCTCTAAAACAGCAATAAGAATAATTATTAGGCCATATGTAAATAACAAAATAACTTTATAACTTAAAGCAAAATTGGGAAACGTAAAGTGCAAAACAAGTCTTTATATTAAGGGCCATCAGTGAAACAATACTGTTTGGTCTGGCTCTAAGCAGAGCGCATTGTGTGTGCCATCTTCTTTGGCACATGCGGGTCACTTTGAGGGTTCACACTAGAGCGCGTTTGCTGTCACATTTTATTTGCAGTGCGAACAGGCAGACGAAAAAATTGGATTTGATCAAAAAAATTGAATTGAACATTAAGACCTGCAGTGTAAACGTAGCCTATGTGAGCTAAAAGGTGTTTGGACAGTAACTAATTTCCACTCAAATATTTGCACCTCTTTACAGTAGCAGAATACTTTAATATGTATGCTGTCGGTTATAGTTGCTAAAAAGAAAATCAGCAGCAGTTCACGCTTGGAGAAAAACCCAAATTGGCAAAAAAAAACTATTTACAACCTGTATCTGAAGAAAATTGATGAGAAAATAATCTAAAAAAGTATCAGATAAGAATCTGAACTCACAAATAAATGTTTTTTTATACATCAAAGCTCCCAAAATCATTAAAAATATGAGCTCCTACGTTTATCTTACCTTTGATTTCTTTTGTAAATTTCACTCGTTGAGAGTCTGTCAAGGGTTTCTGCTGTTCTTCTATGCTTTTGAAATCCAAGACCTCGCACATAAACTCAATTACAGGTTGGGCTTTGTAGAACGCAGTGGCCGAAACTGAAAGCAATTGGACACAGAGTTTCAGCTTATGGAAAAAGCTCAACTTTAGACACATTTTGCATGAGAAATGAATCTTATTGTGAAAATTACCATCGATGTTGAGCATCATTTTCCAAAGGGACGGCCTGACAGACTGGTGGAAACCAAACCACACCTCTCTCCCTCCACCAAGAGGGTTTGAGCATCCCTCTGAAGGAGTGAAGAAAGAGCGTCCCACTGGGGTATACCTGCAGAAGAAAAGCATCAACAGAAAGCCAACAGTATTATAAAAGGATAAAATAAAGAGTCAAAACTATAACTGACAATGACAGAAATTCTGATGTACCTCATAGAAGGCAAATGTCTCATGACCACATCCAAGGCTTGAATAGTCTCAAAAGGGACGCTGGGTAGCCGTCCTGACAGTGCCTCATGCAGAGCTTGCAGGCTAACGCAGGACACCCACTTGATGGCTACTTTGAAGCTGCGGTCTTTCCCTTCACCAGGAATAGTTACCTCAAGCTCCACCTGTGTGATCAGTTGGGAGGAAATGAAGAGATACAATGCAGTCATATTGCAGAAATACTCATACTTTTTTTGTTTTGTACTCAAAATAGAGCTTTTACTGTTACAGGTTGATGTGTGGAATACATACTTTGTCTCTGCCTATTGGCAAGGGCATGGCAGTGTAAAGGTTCTTCCTTCCATCATACACCGGCTTTCGATCACCAAAGATCTGTGTTTTAAAGTGCTGGACCATGTGCTCCACAATTTCCCTGAAAAGAAAATGAAATGGACAAATTACCAGCAATGCCCCAGGTAATTATCTGCTGAACGCTAATGAAATATCAACAAGGATATACCGATTGACCCTCCGGGGGCATTTTTCAGGCTTGATGTCAATGTCATAATGATAGACCTCCAATTTGGGGATTTCCATCTCAAAAAAGTTAGCCTGGAGCTTGATTGTCCTGCCCATGGTGCCAAAGTCTGGCCGTGATGGTGGCTTGAACACATATTCTGGCACTGGGGAAGATGGGGGATCTAAAACATGTGAATCAAATGAAGCAACAAAATAAATGGTAAGAATGGCATCAAAAAGACCTTTAAGACCCAACCAGCAATAAACTGCCTTATAAACAAAGAGTTGTGGTTGCACATGTAAACGAATTGTAGCATGTTTCACTGATCTAAATCAAACGTAAAACAAAAATCTGCTGTTGGCTTGCATTGCAATTAGTGGTGCAACAGATCACAGTTGATCCCTAATCTGAACCGATCCCACTCCACGGTTCGGGACGCACGTGATCTGAAGATTCGAAAAAAGAAGAGAAAAAAGTATGTGTATGGTGCGCGTGGTCGGTCTGTCAAGCGATAGTTATGGCCAGTGCTAGCAGTCCAAGTGGAGGAGCAGAGGAAATTGCGGTATTTAAGCAGTCCTTTCCTGCCCAGTCCGACCAGGCTAAAGCTATTACAAAAGCTATTGGGGTGTTTAGCTGCAGACGGGAGGCCGTATTCCCTTGTGAAACAAGGGGTTTAAACTATGATGAACGTGCTTGAGCCACACTATAATATCCTGTTGCGCGTCCACTTTAGTGGCAAGATCGTTCCAAGCATGTATGAGCAGGAAAAGTTTAAAGTTATGGCTGAACTGTCCCAGGCATCTTCTGTTGCCTTAACTACTACAAATGAGTGGACCTCCAGGGCAACGAAAAGCTACGTGACCATGACAGCTCATTATATCACAGCGGAGTGCGATATAATGAGCGGTATGTATTATTGTAGGGTCTACCTTACAATATAAAGCGCCTTGAGGCGACTGTTTTTGTGATTTGGTGCTTTATAAATAAAACTGAATTGAATTGGGTGGTAGATACAAAGCCCTATACTGCCCTATATTGAACCATAATTTTTTTTTTTTAATAATTGCGTGGAATGAGTCTTGAGTTGAATGTTTTTAACAGGCAAAAAATACTTAAATAAATGAATAAGTAAATGTTAATTTTTTGTCTTTTTTCTTTTTTTGCTGATCCAAAAATTGATCCGATCCGTGACTTAAAACCGTGATCCGATCCGAACCGTGAGATTTTTGATCCGTTGCACCACTAATTGGAATACACATAATAATGCCTAATAGTGGGTTAGGGTTAGGAAAGAAACAATTGAAAAAATTCTCAGAGATTAGGCATAAATATGCAGTAATAACAGTGTGTATAATGCAGTATGATCATTTTAATCAAGTGATCAAGATGTACTGTAGGGGTAAATAGGTTTTTTGTTTTGTTTTTAAAGTCAGGAGCATCACGAATGTGCACTAACAATATGACTTAACCATCAGCTCTAACTGGCATCATTTCAAGGATATTATATATGCGCTATTTGGAAAATATTATACTAATATTATAATAAAACAGAATGACTCAATTTATAATTTAAACAACACCACATGGTTTTGCAGCTCCAGGACACTGACTTAATTATCCAAATACACTGAATAATCCTCCGAATGTTTGTAGCTTTGCTTCCATCAATTACACTACGAAAACTAAAAGTGTCACCTGTTGATAAACAGTATCGTAGTATTTGGACCTCCCCAGCTCCAAATCAGAACCAATCTGTTCTTCCTATGCTAGGGCTGCAGCAAATTCAAGTGTGTGCATCTCAATTGATTCAGCATAAAAGGTTCTGTATAAAACTTTTTCCATCTGGTACAACATGTCAGCTGATTTCAGTACTTTCACAAATGGGTACACACCAAAGCTATGTCCACGTGTGCATGGGATTTTTTTTTTAACCCTGGAGAACCCATGGGGTCAGAGCCGACCCCATTGGTTTTCTAGGGAAACCGTTCTCCAGGGTTAAACGAGGATTTCCCCCATGAAATATAACAAAGTGACATCAAGCGCTGTGATGAACATGCCTAAGCAACATGTGATGATGTAGCCCTAACTGTACAGGAACGCTGGCCAGTTACATACAATAACACACTTCACAGTCTGATGTCAAAAAACAAAACCGAGGCATGTTGAGAATGTAAGACAAAATGTCAGTTTTCCTCGTCAACACACAAACACAGAAGCACAGTATCTGTGAATCTTCACCCCTGGAAGCAGCAAAGGCTGCTTTGGGTGATCTGAAACAACGTTTACATGTGGACGAAAGTCCAAAACACACAGAAAAACAAATCTATGTTTACAAAACTGTATGTTTGTGAACAGTGACTGAGGATGGGGGGCAGTGGAGGGGATCTGGGTGACATCTGATACTTTTGCTACTATTAGCAGCTGCAGGATTCAGTGTTTCAGAGAAGTCAAACAAAATTATAAATAATTTATCTGACATCCGCTAACTCTTCATCACATCATCTCTGACCTAGAACCTGACTCATGTAGGGTTTTGAAGACTGAAGCCAATATTGGGGGATTTTAAACTCAAATATAAGACTGGTATTTTCATTCTTTCAAACACACAAAAAATTTGTATGTATATTTATTTATTTGCTAGTTTATGCTTTGCCTGACTCTGCTCAGATCAGCTCCTTCTTTCATTTATGGTGACCCAAACACTGTTGCAGGGAAGCTGCAGAGTACCCACTAGTGGACAAGCTATACACCATCAACATTCAGAACGTGTTTGAAAGGGTGTTTCTCTCGCCTATTCTGTAACTTATCTGATTTTATAATTGCTGATACTGAAAGTTGGCAAATAGCTAAAATTGGCTGAGCAATCGGTTGGACTCTGCTTTAAACATTTAGCCATCACAAAATCAGCCACTGTAAATTTGTGCCTCATCTGCTAACAATCTGTCTAAAACAGTGATAATGGGTGACTTTTCACAAATGTGTTCAGGCTGTCCTAGAAAAATGAAAAAGCACAAGCTGCAGCTGTCATTTTGAACAAGTTTTAGTCAACAGACCGCACAGTTGTGGATGTAGAGCTCATACGGAGTATAAATACACCACTGAATAAATTCTTCAGAGAACTTCAATTAAATTTTTTTCAATGTAACTGAAATTACAAAGAAAAAAGACAAAAAAAGGCAACTTGTATAATTTCTTTTTCAAACTTGATTAAAATGCTCAGATTATTTTTCTCATTCATAATTTGACTGTTTTAACTTATCTGCAGTAAGCCTTCTGGGGAATTTAATATTTACTTTTTTAAACAAATTGAGAAAAAAATGTTTCTTCATATTTTCTGATTTCTTTGTTGGAACAAAAATAATAAATAATACAGCTACTTTTCACCTGTGCCTTTATTCACAACAAGTCACCACAGCAGGCAGCTTAACATGTTTGATTTGTCACCTTTTCTTTTTAAATTATGTTTTTGTTTTTTACACTGGATACCCCTTCCTGGCCCATCCCCAAAGGGGTTCTTTTTTTCCAAATCAGTAAACCACTACACTATGTAGCCACACTGACAATAATATACAAGTCGATATAAGAAAAACGTTTTTTAATCTCACATTTGTAATTATTTTGATACAGTAGTTGAATTATTCTTATTAATATTAACAACAACAACATTAACACATGTACCAAATCTACATCAAATCACTATATTATACCCTGAAAGATGATTTTAAATGTTAACATTTTTGCAACTTATTGTAGGAGATGCACACAGCTCTCATTATTGCTGGACAAGCTCGGCAATATCTGCAACTTCAGTTATTTCAGTCAGGACACACTCCATTCCCTTCAGTGCATTATCTTTTAGCTCCAGCGCTGTTCATTCAAACAGAAAACCTTTAATAAAGCCTAGCAATATATGGTGGATTTTAATAAGTGCCCTTTAGTTAAGTGCTCTGCACATAAGCGCACAAAATGAGGTGTACTAGTGCTGACTAGTTGAAGAGAAAAGCATCTTCTGTAGACTCTCACTTACAGAATCAAAATACCTATATGCTTTTTGCTGGATGGTGTCACTATCAGGTCCTGTTGTTTTTCAGATGAGTACATACTGTGATGCTTGAAGGATGTGCGAGAAAAAAAAATGTTGCCACTTACACTGGACCACTACTAGGGTCAATTTAAAGTGTTAAAGCCCGAATATGGGAAAAGCTTACCAGAGCTTACTGACCCAGTAGAACGGGGTCCCTCAAGCATCTCAGCAGCTACAGAGAACAAAAATAACATGTTATAAATGCTCAAAGATCCGCTCAGTCTGATACACACTGTATTTTAAAATAAAGAGTGACAAATGTGTACACCTAATAACATAGTACAGCCCAGAAACCAAAGATTCCTGCTTAACATAACAAAACCATTTGTTTATGTAGTAAGCAGTAAGAGAGCGCTGCTCATTTATTACACTAGATACATCCCAGCAGGCCTTTCTTATCACTTCCACAGGAGTCTTATCAATAGACACGCAGAAAGTATTGAGCAGCTGGCAATCTAACGGATGAAGCCACCCCTTCCCCCTAGAAATAAACTGCTTCAACACACCGAGTCGTGTTTTGGTTGAACAAAACATCCTCGTTAAAATAACTGCAAGTGGGGAAAAAATTATCCAACATAGTGTTGATGTCGCCTGTACTCTCTTTCATTCCGCCAAAAAAAAGCCAGCTGACAAAAAACCCGACACGCACACATGAAATACGCATGTATGCAAATCTACACACACAAACACAGCGTCTGTCTGACTAACGACAGGCGGCTCAGTCGCTTAACTATCACTCTACCTAACGTCAAACTTAATCAGACTTCTCCTATATCGTTTAGTGTCTTAAAGCCGGTGTTACACTGAAAATACGATCCGGTGGCGTTAGTGCGTTTATACAGCTGGTGTATTAATGTGACATATGTAAATGTGGCGATTTCAACTGTCAGGCTAATCGTATCCCAGACTGGTGATGAGATTAGGTCGGCCTCGAAATATTGCTTCAACTAGTGTGTTTAGCGCTTCAGTTCGAGAAAATGAATGATATGCGTTTACGTTCGTGTGATTTGTTAAGAAAACATAAGCCAGCCAACCCCCACTTGGTGAAAGTGCAGTGAGTTAACTAAAAACAAGTTCGGGAAACCAGGTGCCGTTGAAGCTAGCGTGGCTAGCGGCAGCTTGTTGTTGGAAGCTAGCTAAGCTTGCCTCTAGTACTAAAACACTTAAAACTGGGACGACACGTTCCTCGTCAAAGCCGTTGTTGAGTTTTATCGTAACGAGTTGGGTGAAGCCGGAACATAGCAAGCACTTCATCGATGCAGCACAGAAAAATGCCGCTCCGTTATCGTCAGTTTTCTTTGGCCGCATCACGCAGCCGATGCTAACGTTAGCCGCAGCACTTACCTCCAGCAGAGGAATACATTTTGTCGACTTTTTTTAAGCGTGTGTCGTGGACGCACAAACACTCCACTTAGTTTTTCGCAGAATTCCACCAAAACTCATCCGTAGTCGAAGTGTATTTATATGTCCAAGTGCAAGGAAGGAAACTCGGTTCTAAAAACAGATATTTAGTTAGCCAAGTGGTAAATATTTGAAGTCTCTCATCCTCGGCTCGGCCCCATCCCCCCAACACGCAAAACGAGAGCCGAGAGAAAAGAGAGCGCAGGGTAAAGAACCACGCGCTTCAAGATGATTCCTTCCCATTATTTCCGCCTTTGGTCACTTTACTTTAGGTAGTGTATATATTTACATTTGGACTTCTTTTTTTAATCACCCTTCTTTTTTACAAGATATATGTATTCATCCCATCAGTGTAGTCATGAATGTAGTCAAAAAGCTAGTATCCGCATCAGTCCACGAAATTTGATTCTTTTTTTTAAAATAAATAAAACACATACTATATAACACATACATACACACAATATAACACAATTTAGAAAATCACGTTTCCTATCAGATTTAGTATTTTATTAGCCAAAGTTAACATTTTACACGGTTGCAAACATTTCAAATACGGTTATTTCGACTTGAGGGGAAATATTAACGTTTAGATTTATGCAAAGTGGGGAACTATCTTGCTTTTCGGTGACGTCAGACGCACGCTGCGCGGTCTCAGTAGTGATGCTAATTCAATTTTTTAAAAAAAAAAACCACCACAGAGATCGCTTACCTGGCTTAAAAAACAACATGACTTTTTATAACCTGGCTAAAATACAGGTCTGGTTTAAATACGTACATATATATGTATATAGCCACGAATCTCGGTTTTTAAAAATGTCAACAAGCACAGCAACATACCAAATAGTTTGTTTCTTCGGCGGAGGAAGCATTTCCGGGGTACCAAAGTTTTTTGTTTTGTTTTTTATAATACCCATAGCTAGTGCATGGTAATGGATCCACAAAGAAATTCCATCGCTATAGTTCATTATAATATAACGACGGTACATACAGAAGATTTATCAAGCCATGTGATTTTATATTACACGTTGAATTTTGCTTATGCTAAAAATTACTTAAAGTTTAATTAAGCGGAATGAATGAAATAAAATTAGATGTACACGCTCAAGAAGTGAATTATTGTCTATAGTAACAAAAAAGCTGAAGACGATACACACGGGTAGGTTGTTTCTATTGAATGTTTTTGAATGTGTATGTTTATTTATTATTTGCTCATCCAGATTCCCCATTTTACATCTGACTGGGGTGAAAGAAAAACAATAATAAGAGGGATCCTTCTTCATTTGTCTCTTTAGTGATTGCCACAACCGCCATCTCTTCCTATCCCTTATTTAGCACCCTTTGCCCAGTATATCTACTATCCCTCCACTGCACATGTCCAAACCATCTCAGCCTCGCCTCTTTCTAATTGACTCATTTCTAATCCTGTCCATCCATGGGACATTTAGAGGGTCTATTTAAAATGATATGACTGACATGGAGGGGTGTCACTGTGTAAGCCATTTGTTTATTAATGTGTAGTTATGTATTTATGTCACATTAAATGAATCTGCGTTATTGTTTTCGGGTGCTCTTTCTCTTTCTGTTTTCGGAGAGTAGATAGTGCTGCATGTCTCTTTAACTGTGAGCCTGGTTTCGCGTAGCTGATGCCGTTTAAATTAAATTATTTATTGTATGAGTTGCAGATTTGAGTTATGAAACATGCAGAATGTTTCCGCATGTGTGCATCCAGTTAGCAGCACCTGCTGAAACGCCCATGTAGTCTTCCAAAACTTTGAAACAGTTGCAGGCTCTTTTATCAGATTAAACTGTTACCAGTGTCACGTGATTCCCCTTTCCCCGTTAATTTAATCTAATGGGTATATTTTTAATCTGGGCGTCTGGGTTGTGTCAAATTTGAGTGCATTTATTTTATTTTGTGTTGTGGGTTTGCCAAGGTGAACGACGTGCAGCCCCTCGCTTTGTCCTCTTGTCGGCGCTGTTTACCACTGAATGTGTGGGCTGACGGCCGGAGCTCTGGTTTGTGTGCTCGGCAGCATGCTTCAGAAGGGAATAACATGGATTAATATTTAATGAGCCGTTTATTGATGCCGAGCTGTGTAAACAGACCGTGTTTGATTTGCTGATGATGTACAGAATATTTGGGATCATTCATTTGATGCAAGAAAAGCTTTTTTGAAATTTCCATGGGGGTTAGGCTATGTGCCTCTTAAAACGAAAATGAGAATATATATATGTATGTATAAAAAACCCGAGCTCATTGGCTTAAGCTGCTCAGTTTCATGTCTTTGCGATTTTATTTTATTATTAGATTATTAAATTTGATTCCATGTTTCCATGCGTGACTAGAGCAGCTAGTGAATTCTGTTCTGATAAAAACGCGTAAATAAAGATTAATAAAGACAAGCGTGATAATCGGTGGCTCTTGCAGCACGGGCCTTTTTGGTAATAGGATTTGTCCTTCTAATTTATCCTTCTGATGAATTGGCGACACTTTAATTGCTGCCATTGATTGATAGTATAAAAACACAACAATGCAGCCAACATGCAGCCCGGGTGGCTTCCCCCCTTATAAGAAAGCTGGCGGAGTGAATTGGGTGTAGCTGTGTCTGTGTGCGCCTTGGCCAATGGAACCAGATCCTCCCTGCAGTGCGTAAGAGCGCGATTTAGGATTTAACCAAGTCTTTGCTGCGGGGCTGGCTGCAGTCTTCACCAGAGCCCGACGGCCTGAGAGCCTTTCAACAATGCCAGTGTAGTTTTTTTCTACACCGCTCTGGAGACAGACGCTCTCGGTTTTTATTATTGATTTTTTTTTCTTTCGTGTTTTTTTCCCTGCTGATTAAATAAAAACGAACCCACGCGCTCTCTCTCGAAGTATGACCGGAGTTTTTGACCGGAGGATCCCGAGTGTGAAATCTGCAGACTTTGAGAGCTCATTTCAACTCTCCAGCATGCACCATCCGTCTCAGGAATCTCCTACTTTACCCGAATCCTCCGCCACGGATTCTGGCTACTACAGTCCCGCTGGAGGAGTCGCTCACGGCTACTGCTCGCCCAGCTCCACCTCTTACGGGAAGCCTCTGAATGCCTATCAGTACCAGTACCCGGGTGTAAATGGATCTGCTGGAAATTACTCGACAAAATCCTACACAGATTACAGCTCCTACACGACCCCCTCCTACCACCAGTATGCTGGGACTTACAGCAGAGTGCAAGCCCAGCCGAGTCCACAAGGTACGGGCCTAACATTTTATATTTTAATAAAAGCAGATTGTTAGAGGGTTATGAAGAAAAAATAAATATATGGTTGTTTTTTTAAATTTTTTATCCAGGTTTACCATTTCGTCGACTGCTGATTTGCACTAAAGGTCTATAAATGCGTAATTAAAAGAAAAAATGCAAATGCATGCTTCAAATTATTTCATTTAAGTCCATTTAAAGGAACCACTTACTTTCCTTTTAGTTGGACTGAAATGCATCTGGTCCATAAAAATGTATGTCTTTTTTGTTATTACTGTTATTTTAATACATCTGAACGATGACACACACACACACACGTAATAGATAAATTCCGATAATGCGGTTTTGGGGGAAATGGATACATGGTTATACACGGTTTTGTTTTTTTGTTTTTTAATAGAAAAAGAGATAAGCGAGCCTGAGGTGAGGATGGTGAATGGCAAGCCGAAGAAAGTGAGAAAACCCCGGACAATCTACTCCAGCTTCCAGCTGGCCGCCTTGCAGAGGCGGTTTCAGAACACACAGTACCTGGCGCTGCCGGAGAGAGCCGAACTGGCCGCCTCGCTGGGGCTAACGCAAACACAGGTGGGATTTTCGATGAAAAATACATCTCAGATCTCTCAAATCACTTTTAATTTGGAAGAAATTATTGTGTTTTAAGTGTTTCAAATGTTGAGAATAAAATAATGATTTTTGCGATGTTTTCTGGCTTTCTTTGTGCGCTTTTACGCAAGGAGCGTTTTTTAAGCTCCATTTGTTTTTGAGGTGATTTCGGAAGTAATCATAATAATAATGCGATTTTTGGCTCCTTACAGGTGAAAATTTGGTTCCAAAACAGAAGATCAAAGATGAAGAAGATCATGAAAAACGGCGAGCTTCCCCCGGAACACAGCCCCAGCTCCAGCGACCCCATGGCCTGCAACTCTCCACAGTCCCCGGCCGTCTGGGACACACAGGGTCCCTCCAGGCCGCACAGTCTACAGCCACAAAGCATCAACACGACGGCTTCTAACTTTTTGGAAAACACGGGGTCATGGTACACCTCAGCCGGCAGCTCCATGACTTCCCACCTGCAGACCCCTAACTCAATACAGCATTCGTTGGCTCTTGGAGCGGGGACGTTATATTGAAAAAAAAGAAAAGAAAGAAAACTACACTAAACAAAAAACAAACCTATTGTTGATTTCATTTCCCCCTCCTTCTATGGGACTCGTGTTCAGATTTCAGAGGAATATGCAATGTATTTGATGGCAGTCATAGAAGAAACGTGTAAAATGTGTAAATGTGTGCATGTAATTTATTGCATTTTGGAAGACTATTAAACGTTTAAATGGACAATGGAACTTTGAACCCCACCCCCTGCCTCCCTGCAGTCTCTTGTTATTTTAAACCCTCAGTTATTTTCTCTGAAAATCACGACAAAAGCTCGCAGACAGCCTCAGGTGACATTTTTTTGTTGTTTGCTTCCACAAGGTTGTAAATCACGTCTGCGAGGTACGTCGAGCTGAACGATCAGCATCAAATCTTAATGGTTTTCATGTGCAATTACGGCCTAGGAGTGCGTCGTTTGGGGTTTTTTTTATGTTTTATATTTACTAAAAAATGGTATTTGTCTGAAAAAGATTTTTGCAGGTAAAATTTAGTCTATTTTTTTTCTAAGAAATGACAATTTTAAAAAACAACATATTTGAATGAAGGCAGTTTATCCATTTGCGATGAATGCAAAATCGGAAAAATTAAAGGGCAAATTTCTGACTGAGCTTACATCAAGCAAACATTTGTCAAGATAAATACCTGTAAAAGGAACGGTACAGGCAATGGTAAGCGTCAGCCGACCACACCAATCACATTTTACTGAATCGAGCTGGGTGTATTTGTTCTGTAATATTGCATCTATTATTGCTACAGTAAGTCGGCAGTAGCTTATCTTCTTAATGTCATTTTTAATTTTATCAGACAAATGGTAACATGATAGGATTTGCTCATGATACAGTAATAATTCATATTTTTCAGTCAGTCCCCGTATTCTTCTTCATATTTTTATTCGTTTTATTATTGCACCTGATTGAGTCTTTAAGATAGTCTGTAAGGGAAGTGCCCGCTTCTTCCTGCAGACGGTCTGCAGCCGGTCTCACTTCTTTGTGTCCCCTACAATTAGTCGCTTTGAATGGCAAGAGAGGAGGCGAGGGGGGCGGCACGGAGATCTGAGACAATCCGCATTCCTGTGGGGGTAGACCGGCTCCAGAGCTTTGCCACTCCCGGCCGCCGTACACAGCCCACCTTCCTGCTTAAAAAATGCAAGAACTGAAAAGAAAAAGGAAGAAAATCCTACACAGTTTGAACATGTCATTAGCAGCCGATAATACCAGCTCTGCCAGTGGGGGTTAAAAAAAATCCATTAAACAAACCGTGCCACTGTGACAAACTTAAGAGAATTGATCTAACTGAATCTGCCCGACCATATGCGCCAAGATCACATAAGTGAGTTTTTACAAATGTTGCACACAAAATGCCTCCCCTTCTCTCTCTCTCTCTCACTTTATCTCTGTCTCTCTCTCTCACAACATACACTAAACAATGCTGCATCTGACCCACACACTGACCCATGCAAGTTACCATTTCCACCTGACACAGAACCCTCTTCCTGATTGCAGCCCACTGAATAGACTTCACACACACACACACACACACACACACACACACACACACACACACACACACACACACACACACACACACACACACAGCTATAGGAAACGCTCTCCCTAAAGCACTGGCAGCTCTGCTGCTTTAAGCACGATTTCTGCTGTGAACGAAACTGCAGAGCGGTCACTGCGATGCTAGTGTGTCACTCCAGAAATGTAAAAATTTAACAGGGCACGTGCACGTGATCAAGAACACTTTGGCGCGCGAACAGACGGGCACACACGGGTTTATATGTCTCCTACACATACAAGCACACACATACACACACCTTTCTCTCTCTCTCTCTCTCTCTCTCTCTCTCACACACACACACACACACACACACACACACACACACACACACACACACACACACACACACACACACTTGTGGTGCCATTATATCGAGAGCCTCCGTTTATTTCCCAACCGAACATTTTCCACTCAGCTAGTTTTCCCCCCGTTTTGCAAATCGAGTCTAAATAATGACAGTTAGCTTTACTGGACAGCTTCAACTGTAACACTCCACAATAATTATTCTCCAGGATTAGGGCCTCCATTATCATAATCTGGACATTGACAATTACCTATAATTTGCAAAGATGCGCTTGGTTCTTGATTGCAGAGGGCTTTTTTTTTTCAAGCTCGCCATCACTAAACAGTGACAGTAATAACAGCTAATTTTGCAGGCAATATATAAGAGCTTACCGGGGTGTGCAAACACTTTTCCACCTGGATTTGCTTATTCAACCACCAGCAGTAAAAACCGTGCAGCGCTTTTTTGGGGGGTTTAGTCTATGTTAGAGAAGCGGAGAAAGGTAAGCATGAGTCTTATATTTTCTGTCACAGCTTCCATTCTTAGATAAGGTGGACGAACCCTTACCTTTAACTTATTAAAGTTTAGACAAAGAAATCTAAATCTGATTTACTTAATTAATATATTATTAATATATTATATATATATATATATATATATATATATATATATATATATATATATATATATATATATATATATATATATATATATTCTTTTAAAGAGAGGCTGTTTGGATTGTGGAGGCCTTTTCGAGATTTAATGTGGTACAATTTGTATGAAAATTTGTATGAAATGTTGTCCAGTGCTTGCAGCTTTTATGTGAGAAGTGTGAGCATTGCAGAGCAAGTGACACATCTCTCACTCCCCACCCCCATCTACTGTAGCTCTATCTATCTATCTATCTATCTATCTATCTATCTATCTATCTATCTATCTATCTATCTATCTATCTATCTATCTATCTATCTGAAACTCATCAAAGCCATTAAAAATCGTCATTTTCTGGTGCTGAATATGCGCGACTGCGTATTTATGAGCTCTGTTGATGTTTACTCGACTGCTGCTTTCGGCTCCCTGCAGCCCGATCATGGCCCAGGAGCAGATAGGCCCCAGCCTGGGGGCCCAGGTATGCTGAATGTGCGCCAGTGGGACATCCGCGACTTGACAGCTGCATGAAGCTTTTCAGCGTTGTAATTTCAGATAATATCCCGAGCGCTCACTCTTCTCAGCAATTTGTATATGAATAACCGAATAATTTTCCCTTTTGTTCCATCTGTGCTACCTCAAATCCAAATAAAGATGCCTTTTAGTATTAAAAGTGGTAGAAAATTACAGGTAATTATCTTTGACGGTAAAAACGCTGTAATCAGCGGGCTACATCAAAAATTACCCTAATTATGTCTGCATTTATGAGAATGGGGGAGAGAGAAAAAAAGCCTCACTTGGATAAAAACCCACAAATTGTCCCAAATATCTCCTTCATATTGAACGCCGCTGCAGCTGGCTGCTTTGTTCAGCATCGATCCCGCGGAGCTTGGCATTTAACGGCCTGCATTAGGACGGAGAGAAGGGAGAAAACATTTTGTCAATACTTCTAATAATTGAGGGTGAAAATGACAAGATAAGCTGGACCTGGAGCAAATGTCTTTCGAGGTGAATGTAGGCAGCGGCGGGTTGAGGGTAAGTTAATTTCCTCTGGTGCTGAGTGCGTTTGATAAATCTATATACTGTGGAGTTTTTCATTCATTGGATTTATTTAAAATGTTTACTCTAGTGAAATGGGCTTTTCAGTGAGCACCGTGTCATTAACTTATGCTCGTGTTGTCTGCTCTGAGCTTGCACACACCAGGGAGACGGGAAATAGGCCCTTTTTTGGACGTGATGTTGGCCCAATATGACGCACAAAAAAGGCCTAGATTAAAATGAATATCTTTTTCTTCTTCCCCCCACCCCCACCCATTTCTTCTTCTTCTTCTTTTTTTTGAAATCATGGAACAGCAGGAGTCTGTTTTTGAGTCACCGTTTACTCAATCTGACAAAACATAAAAAGTGTATGTACAACTAAAATCGCAGATTATATTTACAGACAGACAATTTGCTTGGTTTTGCATGTTGGAGAAACAATCAGGGAGGGAAAAAAATTGAAGGAAGAAAATTTTGAAAAAAAAGCAGTCCACCATGGCAAAAGAAAAAAAAAAAGGTTTCTGGGCGCCACAGCAGCGCATAGAGAGGGTGAGCAGTCTTTGTCCAAAGTGGCTAAAATGTCACTGATAATATTTGGTATATTGACGGTTCAGATGGTGACAAGAATGAAAGCATAACAAATGCGAGCCCACTGAACAGCCATGTACGCTAAAAATGGTTAGTTCCCTTGTTTGTGTCATCATCATCACACACCGAGGCTTGGCTGTGTCTCATCCTTCAGCAAAGGAGTGGAAGAGAGAGGGGGCTTTTTTTCGTTGTTGTTGTTGTTGTTGTTGTTGCCCGCTCCTCTCCAGCATCCAGTTTCTGAGCTGACACAAATTGTAGGCTACGTTGGAAACTGCATTGCCGAGATCCGGAGGCCTCTCCAAGACAGGCTCCCTGACCTTGCTTTCGTCGTCAGTCTATCTCTGCATTGAGTCTTGATGTGGGGAGGAATACCAGTGAGAGTAGCCGGGCATGTAGCTGTTGGCCGGCATGTTTACTCCTTTGGATGAGGCCGACACGTCCCAGATTGGGGGGATGCTCGGAGAGCGCGGGGACAGGGACATGGAGCCCGGGATGGGCTCGCTCTCGTGCGGGTTACCGCCTTGCTTCAGCAGCTTCTTGAACTTTGACCTTTTATTCTGAAACCAAATTTTTACCTGCGGGAGAGGACAAGAGGGGCGTGCGCCGTTAGTTAAGGATAAAGATCCCACATGGAGGTCAGTTGTATTTACGCAACATTTCGTCTTTTAATATAATTAATATACAAAATATAGAAGCACACAAGATTAATAAGGTGAGAAATCAAAATACAACGTTTATTAAAATTACCAAACTGATACAGTACATTTTGTTTCTGGAGGCAGTGTTAAAATGTAAAGCAGTGCGCGTTTCTCCTCATACCTGTGTTTGCGTCAGTCCTAGAGAGGCGGCCAGCTCGGCGCGCTCCGGTAAAGCGAGGTACTGTGTTTGCTGGAAACGGTGGTTCAGTGCTTGAAGCTGCAAACTGGAATAAATTGTCCGAGGTTTGCGAATCTTCTTGCCTTTGCCGTTAAAACGAATCTCCCCGTTTTCGATCACTGTCGTCTTCTGCTGCTCTGCAACAAAAACAAGCAAACGTTATTATTATTGTTCAAGCCCACAGGCACGCTGTACGCGTTCATTTGTGTGCAGGAAGCACGCTGAAAAAATATATATAGTTGCGGTAAAGAGTAAATCGAGGGGGGACAAACAATGTGAGAAAAAAACAATGAAAATTCTGGCTGATAAACGCTGACATCTCTCTCTCCCTCGTTGGCTTTAAGCGCCGAGGCAGCCCGCAATCCTCATACGCTGTCATATTTAGGATATTGCTGGTAATGACATGTCAATTAAATGCTAATTACAACATTCAAGGCGTGCGGGCCTAATTTCCACGAGTAGTTGGTGAGGATTGCACGGTCGACATGATCACACCCCGGGCATTTGAAGCAGATTTTGTGGGGGAACCGAGGGGAGTGCTAGGAGGGGACGGCGGAGGAAGAAAAAGAAGGCTGGATCTTGAATTATCCGGTGCCATTTACGCACAATTTTCGCGATCGCCCGCCTACGCTCGAAAGATAATTCCCGAATTTGGAGCGGCCGTGCGGTGATTTGGGCATGACACCACGAGGCTGGCATGGAGAAATGTTCGATCCCCACTGTGGACCACCCGCACTAAAAAAAGAAAAGAAAAGAAAAGAAAAAGAAGAAGAAGGAGGTATGCTCTAATGGCACTGTCGAGCACGCTGTGGTGCATTTTCCATTTGGCTGGCGAAAAACGCGGGTCTCTTACCTGTGCCGTCTAACCTTGTCTGTCCTCCCATGTTGTTGTGATAGGACGGCAGGTACGGGCTGTGGTGTGGATGGCTCACGTAAGGGTAAGGTAACGACCTGTTGTAGGTGTTGCTCCCGGGGTACGGGGTGTTGTCGTGCTGGTGGTGAGAGTGTGAGCCGGAGTGGAGACAGTGCAGCGGGTAGTGGCCGCTGCCCATCGATGGGGAGCTCTGCTGTGAGTGCGACTGCTGTCCAAACTCCATGAAAGCAGACTTGGACGAGTCCTGAGCCTCCAGACCGTCAGCCATCGTAGTCATGGTCATCATCGAATTTTCTGCCTTGAGAGCACTCACCCCCCTCTCTCTCAAGACCAAATCGGTTTTTTCTCTCTCGCTGTGCTGTTGTCTCTCTCCCCTCTCTCCACCGCGAGCAGATATTGTCCTATTAACACCCGATTTTTCCAGAGGCGTCTTTATTTCCCCCCCTTGTCCTGTGATATTCTCACTCAAAGTGGTGGAAGGTAGGCATAAGTTAAGGGAGAGATTTTAAGGTGGATTCTGTTAAAATTGAGCCCTTGCTTCCAGACTTGATGCAGACACTACAAGTAAAATGGTTTGTCTCCAAAGGGCAGCGCCTCCCGATTGGTCATCCAACCCAACGTCATCACTGCTCTGCGCTTCACGGAGACTTGAGCTGGAGTTAACCCACCTTACCAGCTCCCACCACAACTATGGGGGAAATAATATGTGGTGGGAAAGACGCCTAATTCCTACAGACAAGCCCCACACGTTTAAAAAAAAGGGAGAGAGAAAAACCTCCGCTCTTTTGGAAACTGCCGAGTCGATTTTGTTTTTTAACCCAAACTCCAAATTACGCGCGACGCGCAACATATAGCGTGCACTTTGATTTAATCTGAAGCGGGCAGTCTTTACGTTTCCCCTATTTACTTTTCTGGCTTTAGGTCCTCATTTGCTGAGGAAGTAATTGCATATAGGAAAGCATCACACAAACACGTGTTCGGGAATAGCTGAATCGATTTCAAACCGAAACTGAATTATTTTACCCTACATTAAAAAAAAAAATACTATTAACACCAATCTCCTCAAACCAGCAATAATTTTATTTGAAAAATGATTTTTCAGTCAAATTTATAAAAGAGTAAAGAATAATCCCAGCTGCACTATGTGGTTCTTTTAAGGTTTTTACATTTTGTGACACTTAAAATATTAATGCCTATAGCGGGAGAGTGACGCGTTTAATGCCAAGGAAACACCTGGAACAGGTGGAGTAGATCTGGAAGTGAGCGAAAGTTTATCTTAGACTTGAATTTTTATTCTTAATTTCATTTAACTTTTTCATTTTTATTTTTTATCTTGACAGCCTATTTGATAAGAAAAACACTTTTTTTTGTTGTTTTTTGCAGTGTAGTATTTGCTTTGATGTTTGCCTAATGAGCTGTCCCCCTCTTCAAACCCCACCCTCTTCTGCTCTGAAAGTAACATATATTATAACTGTTCATTTTTTCCCGGGGCTACTGACCATATGATTAAGGATCCTCAGACAATTCAAAATACCGTACATGTGACACATCAAATAACAATATGCCTGAGGTACAATAGGTTATTTTGCAGATAGAAGGGTGGATACCCGGATAAACTGACAGTGTCTTTTATCCCTGTTGCAATATGAGGCCTGATAGGGTCCTCAATATATGTAAATTATACAGTTTGTCTCCAAGGGCTGCCATGTTCGAGTAGCAAATAAGAATAAAATGCTATTTCCGCTTATAATAATGCAATAGGTATTCAAATCATGTTTTGCACCACTTTCAGCATTTTTTTTCCACGCAATGTGGCATTTAGCGATTTAACAAAAAAAAAAGGCGACGCAAAATAATTATGGTTGCAATCAAGTTACTACGAAAACCTATTTGATTAGCGGCCACACTTTACTCAAATTGCAGCTATAAAATTAAGAACAATTCGCCTGTAATGATTATGGACTGGATTTATTTTGGGAGGGTGGAATAAAAGTGGATATAGCATAAATTATCCCCTAATTATACGCCAGTGTGGCCTCAATTATCCTCTTATCAAAAATGGTTGTCTAAATGCAGCGTTTAGTTTCAATTTTCTCCTTTTCTGTAACAAGAACTTGGTACCTTGCTATTATCGTCAGCTACGGTTGTTATTTACTTTGTGGGATTTAAAAGTGCACAACCCAGCCGGATAATCATTTTACAGCAGCGGAGCAAGGAGAGGAGCACAGAGGCAGGGATGTGTTGCAGCCGAAGGCATCCACATGGATTTGTTTTATTCCTGCAGAGTCCTTTAGATTAAGCGAGTCTGATTCAGATTAATCAGAGTCGCTCTTTTGTCGTCGGGAGGGCTGCAGGTAAGAGCTTCTTTTGCTGACATTGACGAATGATTTTATTGCCTCTTGTAATTCGCTATTTTAAGCAAAGAGTGTGGCCTCGCAGACCTGGAATGAGTCAGCCCACCTTGGTCACCCCTCAGTGATCTAGCATAGTGGCCAATTCCCCTGCCCGTGTTCCACTTGGACACGCAGAGGAGAAACCAGATCCGATAGCTTTTCTAATCGCCTTTGAGTCCTACTACAAACACGAACATGCTTTGCAGTGATGTTAGCCGCTTCCCCGCGGACTTAAAACCCCAGCCTTCGTTATATGAGACATCTTCATTCCCCAGGTTTTGTTGTTGTTGTTTTGTTTTGTTTTTTTGCAGCATCACAAGCGCGCCACCGTCGGAATTATTAAGTTGCGGGATGACTGTGCGGGTAATGTCAAAGTCTCGACGTCCCTGCAGGCGTGTTTCTGTGCACACCGAGATTAAGTGAAGTGGTGAAAGGACGGATTTGCTTGAATGGAGAGAACATGACATACTCGACCTTGGTGTTTTTGAAATGTTTAAGATCTGGGCTTTTTGCACGCGTGCTGACAGCCGTGTCTGATTGCAAACAGCGACCCATATAACATGTAATCAGTGGACTGTTTAAAAAAAAACTTTAATTGTACTTTATTACTAAAAAGAACAGAAGCAAAAACAATTATCCTATAAAAATTATATATTTTAAAAATGACACCCTTGAGTCATGCTTCACCTGCTGTATCATGTCTCCGGTTAATCTTGGATTATACAAGTTCATGGCCTTATTCTGGAGAAAAATTATTTTATATTTCAGCTCGACAAAATGTCAATCACAAAATGAGCAGCGTTCAGCTGCAAATCTAGAAATCACTTTGTCCCTAAGTAGATGATTGACCTTCAGCACAATCAATGGCCGTGCTGGTTTAACAGAAGTGGTCTTTATTTCCTGCTGTCTTATAAACGCTGATGAATGACTCTTTAAAATCACTCCAATATCCAAACGCCGGGTCTGTATCAGGCCTGGGATTTCCCCTAACATCCACTGTCTGTGACGGCAGTACATGAAAACTGAGAAGATTTGTACGCTTGCATTTACAGGTGGAACTTAACGGCATGTTGTGGTTAACACAGCCGATAGGACATAACCTAAATTGGTAATATCAGCACGCTTGTGGATAAGGTGATCTATACATGCGTAAATGTGATCTCCCCACCTCTTTCTGAATGCGTGTCACTGCCTGTTTTAGCACCGCGTGTCTTTTTCAGTCTATCTGGCCACACGTGTTAATCGTATCTGAGCGTTAACACAGAGTTCCAACAAGACATAGGTCATAACTGTAAATGAGAGGCTGGGTGTTTGCGGTCGGTCCCACTAACAGCTATTGACTGGCTCCCATGGAAAGCCACTTCTTTGGCTTCCCAGGGACTCGGAGCGGTTGAGGACGCTGAGGCAAGTCACTGCAGAAAGACACCGGAGGCACTTAAACAACATGTCTCCCTTCTCCACAGCGCAAAGCCACTGGCGCTTCACAGACAGCCAGGCGTCGACTGCTTTCCATCTCTGCCGTGCGAAGGGCGGGAAGTGGCAAAAGAGAAGCGCAGATGCATGCCACACACAGCTGTCAGCATAACGTGGTTCATTGTAACTGGATTCACTGGAGCAAACCGCCCTCACACACACACACACACACACACACACACACACACACACACACACACACACACACACACGCACAGACACACACACACACCAACCACCGACACGGTACAGTTCATCTGTGTCCAAATGGCGGCTCGACGCTTTTACGCACGCAAATTGCGCACAGCGCACTAATGCAAACTCGCTTACGCCAGGCTTTGATGTGATTTGTAAAAACGTGCAACTACACCGAGAAAAATG